TACTTGGCCGTGACTGTTGAACTAAGAGAAATCTTGCCAATAGCTGTCGATCTTCCCTTAACTTTACCAGCTTGTTTCCGACTTTGCATTGTGTCTTCTTCCTGCATGTAGTAAAGGTCTTCGGCTTGATTTTCTTCATTGGATCCCAAATCGACATCTTTGCTGTGGATGCAACAACCCGCTCAGACACAAATTCTTCAAATTTCTCTGTCCCCTTTTCATCTCTGAGAAGGATGTCGTCCTTTGCATTTTCTGGTACCTCCATATTAGATACCAGGTTCATTAGATTAATGTTCTTACGTGAAAATGGATTTCCGTCACAATGTTTGCCTATTCCTTTCTTGATCAAGCCTGAGTTATTGAACATACGAACTGCCATTGAGCCACTCAGCTGATAATGCTCCTTAGTTGCTGGTTAGTCGCTGTCTGTGCAGTAAGAATCGTGGAAATCTTTGATTAGCTTGATTAACTCAGGGGCAATCAAGAAAAATCTATCAAGTGCACCTGTATTCTGTGTGATGCCAGTTATCCCTCCCGCTACCTTGAGTTCTCTGATTAGCTGTTCCAATGTTTGATCCACGAACAGATTTGTGTATGGGATCCCCGATTTTGCTACTATGAAGTCGCCACATTCCAGTGCCTTCCAGGTTTCCTGGTCAGTGTCCTTAAGCCGCTGCATTTGGGCAAGATAAACTGGTACGAGACGAGCATATTTGTGAAGATCATGCGCAAAATAGTATTTGACATTCTCTTCAAGAGCACTAAGGTGGAGTTCCCACTCTCTCTGTGTGCAACTCGAATTAAGTGAAGCAAACTCTCTACCTGCTTCATATAGCTCCGCAAAAATTGTGCCATTTCTCCAAGGTCTTGTTCAAGTGAAGATTGGAAAAGTTTTAAGAAGATTGCACTTACTTCTTCAAAGACCTCTTTCACGTCTTCTTGCCTTGTATGGGGTTGATTGCGAAGTTCATAACATTTCAGTATCATAGATCCCGCGTCTTGTTGCTGCAAAGAGGCTTCGAAAAGAAGGTCATAGCAGGCCATAATATTGGTCAAATGGTACTCTACACCACGCTTAAACCACTTTCCAGTGAAGATTTGGCGGATGGTAGATGGCGAATAAAGACCAGCTTCAATGCTGATAGACTCAAGACCGCTGCCTTCTAGATACTTTGCGATGGCATGCAGAGAAGCAAAACAAGCATGAAGTTCACCAACTCTCAAAACCAAGTTAGTGTTCTCTATCGAAGATTGCAGTTTCAATGCTCTCTCGTACAGATCAAGATCAAGAGTAATTATAGTTTTGTGATCAGGACCTACCACAAAAGCTGATATACCCTGAGCCTGACACAACACCGTGTAGCAGCTGTAAAATCTGTTGGAGATCTCCTTAACAAAGGGGCAACAATTGAACTTTGTGTTTTCTGTCGATTCTCTAAGTGAACTTGTGGTGCCGACATTAATAAAGTAGCTGCCCAAGTCGGCAAAATGTCTGGTTTCTCCAGTTTAGTGGATGATTGAGATGTACGCTGTTCGGGATGATCTGCAGCTTCAAATTGTTCACATGCACTTGCTGACAGTTCTTCAGGGGTAGCATTTCCTACGATCGCAGTTCTCTCTCTGTGGGAAAACGATGCCATCAGCCACGCTCTGTCGTCCACCTCGTATTAATTTTCTCACAAGATGATCATTGGAGTGAAAGTCGAACTTGTCAACTGTCATAGGCTTGGCTTCAACGGATGTCGGGCTTCTGTAGACTGTGGTAACATCCACAGAGACAATTCAAGACGAGATTCATCAACTACGACTCAAGCAGTTTCATCATTGTTGCTGTCCTTGTTTTGATTGATCACTAGCATCGTACCATGAAGAGTGTTCTGACCATCAGCTGTGTTTTCTAAGAAGTAGATATTATCTGCAGCAAAGTAAATAGACTTTCCGTTCACAAGAAAGGACGGCAAACAAAATCCACCTGTTGTCTTCCTCCGCTCAGCCACTCTGCAAGCAATTCGCTTCTCTATGTTGATGACGTTCTTGTAGCTAGATCCGATTTGCAGCTGTGAAAGAACATTTACAAGATCCTTACTTCTTGTTTTCTTGTGAATCGTTAATGCCAATACAACAGAGAGAGGAGTTTCAATGTGACTTCGGAATCCGATATCCGACTGGTGTTGGTCTGACGGTCCGTTTTAAAGTTCTGCAGTATCTGTTGTGACACAAGATCAACTGACTTCGTTGATGCCTCACAGCGCTTTCCCTTCACATTTCTGATTTTTGTGCCAAGAAGAAACTATCGTAGAAAGGAGGTCAACATTGGTGGAGACTGAAATTCCTTCATGGACTGGGATCCTGTAAATTTCAGTGAGTATGTCTTTTGAGCTCATTTCCCAATATAGCAGCTGTCTTTACGACGCATTTGATGTCATCTTCTTCATTTTGTTGCTCTCGGAGGTTCTTAACAGCCACTCCAAGTAGCTTTTCCCTGACTACATTATCACTTTCATTGGATATATGTGACTTGACAAATTTAACACTTCCATGTTCTCATGGATAATACTTTTCAGATGCTTTTTATGATGGCTGGAACCTGGGTCTACCTCATTTTCAGTAAGTATGGAAATATATTTTTAATCAATTTCATTCATTGTTAGAGTAGAACCTGAATCAAGGGAACATTTGACAGCATTCAGGATGTAAACGGCAGCGATATATTTGCCAATGTTGGACTTGGACTGTATATCCCAGTTTGAAATGGATTGTTGCAAATTTCGTTCGTGTTCTCTAAGACAATTCCTGTGATACATTAAATCAAATGCAGCGCAGTCAGAAGGTTCATTAACATTGGTTAAAGCTACCCTAACATTCTCATCTTGTGTTCTTGATTTAATCAACAAAAACCTGATGCCCATAGACTCACTTTCGACTCGATGTAGTTCGCCTGTGC